ACTCTTCTGGAATGTCAACATAAAAATGTCTAAAACCACTAAATCTTCACCTAAACTTCAATGAGGGATATTCTTAGCTACAATGAGGATCAAATGAGAACAGATACAAAAGTTCTTTATCAAGCATTAAAAAGTCAATGAAAGACGTCACCAAATTGGGTCTGCAAGTGTTACTGTACTCCCAAGTACAACAGACTGCTCTGTGAAGTTTAAAATACAAAATATTTGCAAGATTTTTGAAGGAGGTATTTCCCACATCTGAACTTTGGTTTAAGAGAACAAAAGCTCAGGGGTAGGAAAGATGGTGGAATGAGATGGACATCATCACTCTAGGTACATGTGTGACTACACATATGGTGTACAGCCATAGAAATATAAAGTTGTGCTGCAATTGTGTACAATGAATCAAAATGCATTCTGTCATATATACCTAATTGAGAGAGAGAGAGAGAGAGAGAGAGAGAGAGCGCGCGAGAGCCAAGAAAGCAAATGCTCTTGGCCTCAAGGCTATAACTTTTTTTTGATACCGGGATCTGAACTCAGGAGCTCTCCACCACTGAGCCACATCCCCAGCCCCAGCTTCTTGAGCTGTAGGGCTTACTGAACCATCATACTCACCCATCCTACTTCCTACTAAAAGAAACGAGCAACTAATGTTCATTAAAAAAAATAATGAAAACCGCCTATATATTGAAAGCAGCTGATACCAGGAGCAGTCTGTATATTATGAGTTTTAGAACAGATTATTTAAATATGGACACATGAAAAAAAAATTGACCCTTACATTGAAACGATTATTATAATTCTTGGTATTTTATGGCAATCCAGGTGTTTCAAATGAATGATACTCAAATACAAGAATTATCTATAAGTCTGGATAAAGACAAATCATGTTGGTTCACATGAAATCAATCACATTCCTTTACAATATGCTAAAAATCATTAGTTCATAACAGTGAGTGACACAGAGGCTGGGTAACACTGGTCTAAAAGTGGGCCAGAACATTCATGGTAGGCAAACAAACAAACAAAAACAAATGTTTGAAGGCAACACAAGAAACAAAGAAATATTTGAGGAAATTGCCAGAAGACTAATGCAGTGTGGAATAGACACAGACAGAAAAAAGTGTCCTGGCAAATATACAAATTTTAAATAGGAGTACAGTGCCAGGAGAAATGGCACGTGCCTATAACCCCAGTAACTTGGGAGGCTAAGGCAGGAGGCTAGCAAGTTCAAGGCCAACCTGGGCAACTTAGCAAGATCTTTCTCAAATAAAATAAAAAGGGGTGTAAAAGGGGTGGGGGGAGGCAGCAGCCTGGGGATGTAAGTCAGTGATGGTGCTCCTGGGTTCAATCCCCAGTACAGCAACAAAAAGAGAAAATGTAGAGTTTTACAAAAGAAAAATGGCAACTCTCAAAGACAAATGAGATTTTTAATGAAGAAGCTGACTGCTTTCTAAGAAGACCAATTCTTGGAATTGCCAGATGAAAATATGGTAACCTAAGAATTAACTTTAAAACAAAAAGAAAATCTTTAAACTTTCCTATTTGCATTTTAACTTAAAAAAAACTCTAAAAATAAAATCCTAATACTATCATATGTTCAAATAACCATAAAATTATTAGAAAACACATATCTGATTTGAGTTTCAAGTTTTTTCTAAACATTGTACCAAAATATTCCTAATTTTTCAACTCTTTTGTCCAATTGCTTAAATGTTCTTACTTTGGAATATATGAATACTTTAAAACTAACGTAGATCAAAAGTTATCATGTAATGGTTCTTTTCCTGTGTTTTTTTAAATTTGTTTTAAGAATTATTTGAAGGTCAGACAAAAAGCCAAAGAACTTTGAGCATCAAGAGAAAAGCACACAAAGATGGTAAGAGCCTGAGAAATGACAAGTTTTTCTACATTGTGAAAAACTTTGGTTACTTTTTCCTGATAACAAAAGATATTTAGTCCTGACCTTGATAAATTAGACAAAATATATTGCTTATGAACTGTGAGAGCACAGAATGCTGAGAAACGATTTTTTCCATAGGTCATTAAGATTAAAAATAAATGGAAACTTGCCCAGAGTTAAATAACTATACAATAATCATGAGTCTTTAAATTATTCTTTATAGTGACTATTGTCAGATATGGTTCTTTAAAGGAGAAAAAAGTGTCCACAAATTAATAAGCTTTAAATTTTCATTTATCCCAAAGATAGGTAATAATGGGTATAATGTTTTAGTACATCTGAAAATAAGCCAAACTCTGAAGTCAACTGAATGTGCGCGGATTCCACACTGATCCATCAGATATCAGAAAAGGCAGTATATCATATTAAAGAAAACTGCTGTATGGTTTGCCCTCGGTATCTCCAGGGGGACTGGTTCCAGGGCCCCCCACAAATGGACACCAAAATATGCAGATGCTCAAGTCCCTTATATAAAAAAGATAGTATTTGCATCTAAACTACACACATCTCTGGTATACTTTAAATCATCTCTAGATTACTTATAACGCCCAATACAATGCAAATTGTATGTAAACAACTGTTACACTATATTGTTTTGGGAATAATTACAAGAAAAAAAGGAGGTATATGTTCAGAACAGATGCAATTTTTAAAAGATATTTCCAATCTTCAGCTAGTTGAATCCATGGATGCAGAAGTCATGGATACAGATGGCTGAATGTGTCAAGAATACACAGCCTGAGGATCAGAAAAAAACCTCCATTCTAGTCTCTCTCTGACCACTCAACACAATAGATCTGGATCTCTAGGATAATAGAGTTTTAGTGTCTTGTAGGTTCATTTTTTATTTGAGCAAAAACAATAATTGAAGAATCAAACACATTTTTACGTTGTGAATGCACCCATGTAATCATCACCCAAATAAAAACAGAGGACCCTAAAAGCCTCCCGGTCATTAACTCCTCCACATCCCAGGAAAGGAAGATTATCACTATTCTGACTTCTGTCTCTATGGATTGGTTCGGGATTCATACCGTATGTACTCATTTTTTATTATCAACTTTTAAATGGCAAATTTCTTCCATCCAAAATTATTTATAAGAGCTATAAATTTACTTGTAATAAAAGTTCTTTTTTATTGCTTTAGAACATTCCATTGTAGGAATGTACATCCGACCACTTTTTAAAAATCCATTCCACTGTTGGGACATGCCAGTTGTTTCAAATTGGGGCCATTATGAATAAAAAAAAAAAATGCATGCATTTCTGTTGAGTACATACCCAGGAGTGGGGTACAAATCATAGGGCATGCACATTACATATATTAACACATTTAGTCTCTATCACAACAAATATATTGATTTACCATGAGGAAAGAGAAGTCTACAGAAATCTGTACTCTTGAACCAATGGGCTACACCGCCTCTCTTGTGAGGGCAGGAACCACATCTGCCTGTGTAATACAGTGTTCCCAGTTGTCTACCATAGTGCCTTGTATGTACACAGTAGGAGCTCAAAAAATATATTGAGTAGGGTCATGTGTTATATAACGTTTTATCAATGATGGATGACATATACCATAGCGATCCCAGAAGACTGTGATGAAGCTAAGCACACCTATCACCTAGAGGTTATGCTATAACCATGATAATGTCATAAAGCAAAGCATCACTCAGTGTTTGTGATAAGGTTAAGGCTGGTGGAAACAAGTCTGCACTGGCAGTTCTATGAAAGCATTACATAGACAATTACATACAGTACACAATAATGGATAATAAGCAACCATGATACTTATATACTATACTTTATTTTTATATTTTATTTTATACTTATTATACTTTATTAAGAGTGTACTCTTACTTATAAAAAATTTTACTTTAAAATAGTTTTCTATGTTATGCTACCCATAGCCTCATACATTTCACATTTCCCAAGTCTCCTGACTGCATCTTCAAGAGGCCACACTTGAGTTGACACGTACCACATAGGTTTGTGTAAGTATATGCTAGGTTGTGAACTATAACAAAATAGCTTCATGACACACTTCTCAGACTACAAGAGTTAAAAAGATGCATGATTATATTAGAGAACAACAGGAACTCTGCCTCCCTGACTTTCCTCCTCTTATAAACTTTTTCATCTCAGATAAGCTAAAAGTTTCATTTCTCCATTTCTGGATATAAATACAAGTCAGATTAATTGTCCCACCTTTGCTACTTCTTCATGCCTACCAGTGGAAATGCTAGGGAAGAGGGAAACTGCTAAGGGTTTAACTGCATAAAAGCACCATTCTGAACCAACTGAATTTCATCATGGACTTTTTCTAACCTAGTAGATGAGAAAACAGACGCAGAAATCCCGAGACTTGCCCAAGATTAACCGTGTTACTGGTAAACCTGAAACTCGATTTCAGGTTCTATGTTATGGCTCTTTGCAATCTTGACTAGTGACAAAGCAGTGTCCTGCGGGACTTTGGAGATGGGGAAGAAGCATAAATTCTGCTTCAGACTAATGCAAAAAACAAAGTTCTAAAATAAAATAGTTATAAATAGAAGAAAAAAACATTTATGATCTTAAATAGAGAATCACTGAATTAAATTCTTTGAAAAATCAAAGACAGGGCATACATATATCCCGGTACTGTTCTAAGCATGTTACATATATTAGCGGAAGATCACTTAGCCCCTACCACCTGTTTTGCCTATAATTAGCAAGGACAGTTTTAAAATAAGTCACTTCTTCACATCAAAAATCACTTGACTTGGATACAGAATATAAATAACAGGGTACAAAAGTAAAACCCTATAGGAATATTATATACATGGTCATTTTCACTAAAAGATAAAAATCAAAATAAGGGAATATATCTCCAGCCTTAATTGAAATCCAAAAGCAAGTTGTCTGACATCCTCCTCCTGTGTTCTCTAACACACTAAATGAAGACAACTGGGAACCAATTCCATAGAGATTTATCTGAGTGCATCTTTTTCATGAGTACCTTTCTAGTGATAATGTTATATACTCTTCTTTGCAGAACCAGTATCTACATCTCTTAAGAATACTGCTCCTGGGATTAGTACAAACCAGTTTCCTCAAAGCATAATAACAGAACCAAAATATTCTACAGAATGTTTCTTCAGACAGGAAACTCAACTTTATCAGGTAAATTTCATAATTTTTTAGAAGAGTATGAAAATGTTTACCAGTTGCTGAATTCAATTCTAAACCTAGGGACTTGATAATTGACTGAAGGAAAGGGCATGCTCACTTCTTAGCTAACCAAGTTCAAGTTCATTAGTTAGTTTTCTGTTGCTTTAACAAAATATCTGAAGCTAAGTACTATATAAATAAAAGAAGTTCATTTATCTCATAGTTTGGGAGGTTGAAAGTCCAAGAAAATTCATCCTCCTGAGAGCAAGAGACTACATGATGAGAGAGAATACCAAAGAGTAATTCAGAGGATAGGCTCATTTGTGTGTGTGGTACCAGGGAATCAAACCCAGGGCCTCATGCATGCTAGGCAAGCACTCTGCTACTGAGCCATATCCCCAGCCCCAGGCTTACTTTTTAGTAACAATCCACTCTGGAAAGAACTCACTCTGTGAGACCAGGATTAATCCACTCCCAGGACAATGCCCCCATGACCTAACTGCCTTCCTCTAGGTTCCATCTTAAAGGTTTCCACTATTTTATAACTGCCACAAAGAGGACCACGCTTCCAAAACATGAATCCCTGGGGAATAAATCACATCTAAACCAAGAAAGGATAACCAGCTGGTTAATGGGATAATTCATTTAATGGAATCTTCAGATATGTCCAGGCCGTTCTGTTCTCCATAAAATGTGACTGTAGTTTAAAGATGAAAATGTTTCATCTACAAGGCAGGTCTGGTTTGTTCAGAAGCCTGCAAACTGATGTTTTCAGTACCAAAACAGCATTTGGTGATTACATAAATCTGATATGAACACATCTGCACATACCCACATGCAACTTACAGCTAAGAAGACAATTAGTTAACATTTTTAACATTCTCCTTGACAGAAAAGCAGAGCTATGAAATAAAGCTGCAAATAGCCAGAAGTACTACTAAAAACAAGTAATCCTGGGCAAACCCATCTGAATTGTATGTCCAATTCATGACTGTTTAGTAAAGTAACTGATGCTCTACTTGTTTTTATATGAAGCAGCTCTGGAGTCTGAGAGCCTCCAGAGGAGGATTGCAAGTTCAAAGCCAGCCTCAGCAAAAGTGATGCACTAAGCAACTCAGTGAGACCATGTCTCTAAATAAAATACAAAAAAGGCTGGGGATGTAGCTAAGTGGTTGAGTGCCCCTGAGTATAAGCCCTGGTACCAAGAAAAAAAAAAAAAAAAGATTCCATGTGTTACGGAAATAATGTATAAAAGATATAAATTACTTCATCCAAAAGGGAAAAAAACCAACCCAACCAATTGTCAACGTACAGTATATACAAACAATTCCACTGTATATTAAGCTATGACACAGATATCTAGGATTTTAGGTTTAATACCATATAAATATATTAGTTCTTGGAGTTGGGGGTGCACAGGTAAGTGAGAGTGCGTGCTTAGCAGGTATGAGACCCCAGTTCAACCCCCAGTATCCTCCATTGCAAAATTTCTTTATTTTTTTCTGATCCTTGCCTATTGTTTTAGAGCAACAATTATTATATCTTCTAGACATAAGAAAGTTTCATTGATTTTCCAATTAAAATTGGATCTCCTAAAGTCTGAACCAACCCCACTCTTGGTATTTACAAAAGGAAAACCTAACCATTTTCCATTACATTAGTTCCCCACAAACTACTAAGTTTCTTGCCACTGTTGTTGAAAAGAAACTAAAAAAAACACAAGATCAATTTTCGGCACTACAGTCTCCTAATGAAGTCTTATTTAAGTCAAAGGACCAGCTTAATAGAATTCTTTTTTTTTTTTTTTTGGTACTGGGGATTGAACTGAGGAGCACTCAACCACTAAGCCATATCCCCAGCCCTAATTTGTATTTTTTAATTTAGAGACAGGGTCTCACTGAGTTGCTTAGCACATCACTTTTGCTGAGGCTGGCTTTGAACATGATCCTCCAGTCTCATTCTCCAGAGCTGCTGGGATTATAGGGGTGTGCTACCACGCCTGGCCCACTTATTTATTTATTTTTAAATTTTATTAGAGGGGCTGGGGATGTGGCTCAAGCGGTAGCGCTGGGTTGGATCCTCAGCACCACACAAAATAAAATAAAGATGTTGTGTCCACCAAAAACTGATAAATAAATATTAAAAAAAAATTTATTAGAGCTTTATAGTTATTACATGGAAGTTGAGTTCATCCCAACAAACTTATATATGCATGGAATTTGATTTCAATTCATGATCTCTCTCCTGGAATCCATTTAATACTGCTATACTACCACATCATTCTATCTTTATTGCTCTTATTTGGATTACCTAATAGCATAATTCTTTCACAAAAAAGCAATGATAGTACAAAAAAGCAACTGTAGTAAACAAGTACATGTAACTAGGACTCGAATTGTACTCAATTTTAAAACAGTGGGTGGACCCCGAACAGCACAAAAACAAATTACCCCTTTTCTTTCTGGCACATTTTTAAAGAGGAGGCAAAAAAGGGGATGAAAAGAACTTTCTGAGCCATTCTAGCTGAAAAGTAAGCATAGCTAAGAAAAAACAAATTAAGGTCAGTTCATCTATTTCCCAAGATCACTAGGTAACTGTAAGATCATCAGATCCATTGCCACCGGCCTAAGAATATATTTAAAATAACTTCTAAGACTGTGATAAACCAATGTTCTCCTTGGATTATATATCTAATTCTCAACAAATTCTTTTTTTTTTTTTTTTGCACACTCACGGGGGTGGGGTGGTGGGTGGTATTAGGGATCCAGCCAGGAGCACTTAACCACTGAGCAACACCCCCAGTCCTTTCTGTGCTTATTTTGACAAAGGGCCTCAATAAGTTGCTTAGGGTGTCAATAAATTGCTGAGGCTGGGTTTGAACTCCTGATCCTCTTGCCTCAGCCTCCAGAATCAGTGGGGAATGCCCTGAAATAAATTTCATTTTAAATGGGAAATCATTATGGTCAACTCACAATTACCCAAGATTAGAGTTATTCATATTAAAGATTCTTTTTGATTCATCCCAAATTCTGAGAGCTACTAAACAAACAAATTGTACACAAAATGTCAAATCAAATTCAAGTATTTGAGACTCCAAAAAAGCAAAAAGACTACTTATAATTTTATTTGGTGAGGGAAAGCTAATCATTTGGAATGCATTTATACATGCCGCACCCATATTGCTGATAAGGGTTTACAGCCCAGTTCCTTAACTGTTCTAGAAGTTGTCGCTATTATGTTGCCTTATGAAAACTTCAGTGATAATGTCAAGCCTAAATCTGCATTTCTTACTCCAACCAAATCATATAATTTCCCACTAGGTATATTAGGTCAGGTAGTAAGAATGGAAGCAAAGGTATATTTATTTATTTATACCTCGAAGTGATCTCCCAATTTTTCCAAATCAGTGCGTATCTTGGCATACAAATACTACTCTCTTTTAAAGAAAAGTTGATTTCTGCCATCTTACTACCAACGTTTTCATTCAATATTTAAAAGTGTATCAATGAATCGATTTCCTGAGATTGGTATATTTCCTGCTAATTCATATAAATTCTACGACCGTTGTTCCTTTTGAACACCAATTAGTTGCTTCCCTGGGTCTGGACTCTAAGATTCTAATTCCTATAGCTATACCTAGTTTCAAACTCACAATCTGCCCAATAACTCTGGCCTTGCAAACAAAAGCTTGTGCTGGTTGTAAGTCCGGCGCGAAAATCTGAAAGTGTTGTAGGACCTGGACTAGTCACCACTCCACACATGCCCATAACAAGTGTAGCTCCTGGGTCACAACTTGCACGCACTTGGGCATGAGTCCCGACCTGGCTAGTCCAAGCAAACTCGAGCCTTACAAACTAGCCAGACTCAGCAGATGTGCACAGACCCAGGGGGAGGGTCGGGTCCCTAAACGGCAATAGGGGCCTGGAAAGGTGGCCAGGACAGGCTAAAGTCCCTGGAGGCAGGGTGACTCCCCTCCCCCACAACCTGTTGGATGCCACTGGCAGGTACTGGTCCAGGAAAGAGTGCTGTCCTTCTAGTTCTTGGGAGCTCAACGGAGAGCCAATCCTGAACGCGGGAAGCGGCTCACAGAGATGTAAAAGCACTTGTCTCGCCACCCCCACTCCTACCCCTCACCCAGTTGCTCACCGGTGTTGCAGCCCCACGAGTCCCAGAGTGATCACATGTGGCACATCTAGCTGCGTGGGCCACTCTCCAGAAGCTATGCACCCGAACACGCCGCATTCCTCGCGAATCCCCAATTCCTCCAGCTCCATGTCGCTGCCGAAAGCACGTGGAGGAGCTCGCCGCCGCAGCCGAGGTACTAGGACCAAACAGCTGCCTGCACGGCCCTAGAGCCTCAGAGGCTGGCGCTATAGACAGCCGCTTCCTTCCCGGCGGCTAGACCTAGGCTACTGCGGCGGCGCGTGCTTAGTGGGCGTGACCATCTCATCGCCTCCAGGCCCCGTCCCCCATGGCCTACCAATGAGGGAGAGCGGGAGAAGAGGTTCCGCGGCCGAGGGGAGGAGTCGCGGATTTCATGGGGGTGGAGCCAGTCTTCCTCTGGCTATGTACCAGAACCTATTTCATCTGCACGTGGCTATCTCCGTTATTTTCCAGCATCCACATCGGGAATGATGAAAGTAACGGGGTTGGAGTCATTTCTCTCTGAGAACATGTAAACTTTACACGTCCTTTTCCCGGCTTTCCCCCATCACGACTTGGTACGCTCCAACCTATGAACCGCTCCCTCTGGCAAGAAGGGGGCCCCAGTCTACGAGCTCTGCAGCGTGGGGAGGGGCCGCCAGTGCGCGCCACTTTTCTTCTCTATAGGAACAGTGTACGGGGCGGCTTGGAGGCGGGGTGCCGTCGCTGCGCCTGCGCGGCAGGAAACCTCTCGTAAGTGCTCTGGGAGTCGAAGCTTCTCCCCAGTTGTAGAGACCCTCCGATTTGGGTCTGTGTAGGCGAACTCGATTTGAGCGGCGCGCGGCTACGTTGCCCCTCCAGGGGGCGTGTCTGTGGGCGGAACTTCCTTCCCCGGCCCTGCGAATCTCTCTTGCCGCTCTTCTTTTCCAGATTTCAGCCGCTTTTCCTAGCGTGGTCGCTGCTTCCAGTCCGCTCAGAATAATGGCGACAGCTGAAAGTGAGTAACAGGAGACCTATTCCCCTTACTCAACGATCTCCCCGCCTTCTGGCCGTGGTGCGGGCTCCGCGGCCGGATTCCAGTGAGCTCTTTGCATTGCTCGGCCTCCCTGCAGCCGTGCACGTAGGCCCGTGGGTGAGCGCACACGTGGCCCAGGAGCTGCGAGACCTTCGTTGGACTTGAAGCACCCCGGGCCTCTCCGAACTCTCCTAAATTCACAAAACTGCTTCTCTGATGGAGGAAGAGGAGCAGAGTAGAGTAAGAGGGTTCCTAGGACGAGAAATGGTCAAAGATTGCCTTGAAAAGGTCATCAATATTTGTTGCAAAACAACCACGTGAAAATATAGCGTAGACTCTTCAAACCAAAGGCTTGCCTTTCCCAATTGGTTAATAATTTAACCTTAAAAATTTGTTTAAGTATCGAGTCGTTTGATAATATTATTCAAAAAAGTATTATTTGATGCCTTGATAGCTTTAGAAATTTCCAAAGCCCATAGGCGAAAAAGTTTTCCTTGCTTCACTTTGCGTTTGTCAAAATTTGCAGTTACATAATTATTTTGTCGCTGAGTGATTTGATCCACACACACCGGTTTAGAAGTTTATACTGAAGCAAATTGCATTCCACTGACATGTTAATTTTTCTCAAACTTGCCTTTACAGTTTCTAAAAGGTCCTTCTCCTTAAAAATGTTTATAGTTGGTATCCCTAGAGCCGTTAAATACAGTTGGTACAGGGGGAAATTGACCAAATATACTGTTCTATTGTGTGCATGTATGCATATGTAACAAGGAATCCAGTTATTGTATACAATTGTAATGCACCAACAAGAAGAAAAGGGAAAAAAAAAACTAGTCAGAAGTTCTTTTCATCCAAACTTATATATTGAGGTCTTTTCTACTGAAGTCCTTTGTTTTTGTTCCATTGTGAATCTATGTTCCATTCAGGTTACCTCTCCAAAGTTTATTTCTTGTTAAACACATTTTGCTCACACTTTTTCATAGAGCAGTGTTAGCAAATAAAAATATGAAAACCAAGTGTGATTTATTTACTCTCTCCCTCTTTTTTCTTTTTGCTATGGGCTTCGAACCCAAGGGGCTTATCCACTGGACCACATCCCCAGCCCCTTATATATTTATTTGGAGAAAGGGTCTGGCTGAGTTTCTTAGCGACTTCCAACTTGGATCCTCCTGTCTCAGCCTCTAGAGCTGCTGGGATTACAGGCGCTATGCCCAGCCTTATAAATTTGTTTTCTAGTAGCCATATTGAGAAATGTTGCCTTTTTTAATATTGAATATGGAGCATATTCACAGCCACATTGGCTAGTGGCTACCTATTGGATAGCACAGTCCTAGAATATTCTTAATTCTCATTTTATTAGTCTATGCTTTGCAAAACTTAAATTTCAATTCTGTGAACCTTTCTCAGTTCTCATCAGTCTCTTCTGAATTCATCTGTGAATTTCTGGTAAGTCATTTTCACACTCGTAGTGTTGCCAAAAGCTGTGTCCTTTTCCCGGATGCCAATCCAATGATGAGGACACAATTTTTTTTTTTTTTTTTAAAGAGAGAGTGAGAGAGGAGAGAGAGAGAGAGAGAGAATTTTTAATGTTTATTTTTTTGTTCTTGTTTTTAGTTCTCGGTGGACACAACATCTTTGTTGGTATGTGGTGCTGAGGATCGAACCCGGGCGGCCACGCATGCCAGGCGAGCGCGCTACCGCTTGAGCCACATCCCCAGCCCGAGGACACAATTTTGAGAAAAAGGAAAAAGAGGGTTTATTGCTTTGCTAGCAAAGGAGAAACACGGGGGACTCCTGTCCCAAAGGCTGTGATACTGACCATCAGCAGGAACAGGAGGGCTTTTAAAGAGGTGACTCAAAGGTTACATTCCCTGTGTTACCTGTCAGAGTTGTGATTCATTTGTTAATTTGGAAGATAGTAATTTCTGAGATCTTCTGGTACCTATCCCAAAAGTCTCATTACTTAACAATCCTATGGTTGGTGTGTACTCAAGGACAAATAACTCTGTGATGGGGAAGATTAGAGAGCATCTGGGAGAGAAAGAAACACGTGAATTTTAAAAATAAGTTGCAGTGGCAGAGCAGCAAGGGCTGTATTCAAAGCCTAAAGTGGACATATTTATCCTATAGTTAATCTTGCCACATTCTTGACTCTTGCCTCTCATTTATCCTCCCTACTGAATCAGTTCCTCAGTTTTTTAAATATCTTCAGTCTTTGCCCATTGCTCTTTCCGTAGACCAGGACATTACTTGTCTGTGTTGCTGCAGTACAGTCCTAAACTGGATTCAAATACAGGTCTACCCTTATACTTCAGTGCTTAAAAGCCTAGTTGTTCTTAGGATAAACTCTAAATTCAATAAACATGGTTTTAAAAGCTTAAAATATGAGTAGTAAAATGTCTCATCTGTGAGTCTAGTATCAGGCCTAGGAGAGAAATTGTCAAAAGGTTTGTGAGAGTCATAAAAATTAAGAAAGTTGGGGTTCTAGGAAAGGAATGGAGAAATGAGTTTTGAATAGCAAGCTAGAGCTATACCCTGAAGGGTTTTTTAAACCTTGTTAACATGTCTGGATCTTACATTAGGAAGGCAGAAATTATTCCTCTGAATTAGGTGCCCCTGAATTGCCATCAGTGTCTATCAAGAATAAAATTTAGCTTGGCTGAGAACAAAGAAAAAATGTTTCTTGGAGCTAATTAGGATTGCAATCTGCAGCCAGAAACACAAATTTCAATAGCCTTGAATTGGATTTTGAGTTTTTTCAAAGTAGCACAAGAAGATTTATAATTACATTACTTGTTAATCCAGAATTATGATTGGTACTGCCAAATAAATTGCCTCATAAGAATTGGGTGCAGCCTTAGTCTTTGGGTAGGCAGTGGGTTCATTCTATAGAAGGTCAACAGAGGTTATCAATGTTTCAGGAAACTGCTGTTTGGCCTACTTCAAAGGTCAGCTTACTTGGTGGGGGCATGTGTGCAATGTGCTTGACTGATGGGCTTCCATGTTGATGTGCCTCAAACCCAGTCGAAAAGTGGTCTCCAGGGTCCATGGTGCCCTAAAAGAAAATTTTTATTTTCTTTCCTGGCAGTATTTTGTTCAGTCATTACCCCTACTAGTCGGTGATGCAGCCCCTTTCCAACTCTTCTACTTTATTTGCTGCTGTTCTTTTTCATTCCTTAGCTACTTCCCCATGCCCCCCTCCCCCAGCATTGTATATACAACTAGAGCTCCAGGGCTTCAGCCATTCTGAAGTTCCATGCACTCCTTTATCATCTTTTGATTCTTACCACAACTAATTATACCTTACTTTCTTTTGGCTAAATCTTAATCATTTTTCAGATCTCAAGCCTAATTTTCACTTTATTCTAGACTTCTTTGATGTCTAGACTAGTTTAGTTGGCACAGCTATGAACATGTGATCCTATAGTCTGTATTTATTACATTATACTTATTATGACATTTAGTATCAGGTTTGCTCAGACTCGGGATAGGTCCCTTGAGAGCAGGTTCTAGCTCTCATTTTCTGATACATCTACAGTACCTACCCATGGATACACTCGGAAAATGCTAAAACTTGGGCTAGAGTTCGGAGACCATGAGGATTGATTTCTCCTTTGGAAATTTTAAGTCCTTAAACTTCTATTATCTTAGATCTTCATCTAAAAAATATATATTTATTTACTTTTAGGGGGGTTCCAGGGATTGGACTCAAGGGGCACTTGACCACTGAGCCACATCCCCAGCCCTATTTTGTATTTATTTAGAGACGGTCTCATTGAGTTGCTTAGCTCCTTGCTTAGTGCAGAGAAGGCACAGGTGGCACAAGCCTGTAATCCCAGCAGCTCAGGAGGCTGAAGCAGGAGATTTGCAAGGCAAGTTCAAAGCCTCAACATTTTAGCTAGGCCTTAAGCAACTCAGTGAGAACCTGTCTCTAAATAAAATAACAAAAAGGGCTGGGGATGTGGCTCAGTGGTTAATTGCCCCCGAGTTCATTCTTCAGTACTAAAAAAGAAAGAAGGATGCTTACAAATGAGCTAACTTAAAAGCAAATGAAGGAGCCTCTTGCATATTAACTTGAAATCAAGAAACCTACTGGCTGAACTTAAATATTTTGCCTGCCACGTAAAGCAAAAGTCAAGAAAAATACAGCATTTTTTCCCCCTGCAAGAATACATTAAATAATGTATTCTGTGTATAAAATGTACTAGTTATATATTTCTTTTAAACAAATACTTTTTATTTTAATATTTATTTATTTTTTGGCAGACACAACATCTTTGTTTGTATGTGGTGCTGAGGATCGAACCCAGGCCGCACGCATGCCAGGCGAGTGCGCTACCGCTTGAGCCACATCCCCAGCCCTAGTTATATTAATTTAAAGTAGCTTAATTTTAATTCTGTTTCAGTTTACCTGTGAGAGGCATAGATTGCTAGTGGATAGAATATAGGGTTTGGTATCAGGAAACCTAGAATTTTTTCTAGCTCTGCATATCCTAACATGGGTGACATTTTTGTCACAGTGTCTAATCTCTATAATTGTTTAAATAATTAGACTTCTTCATAAAATTATGTGATTGTAACAGGGATTCAATTGACACTTTGATATATCCCTTGTAGCTTTGAAACTTCACACTTTTTTTTCTTTTTCTCAATCTTCTTTTCCTTAAGCTTCTCTCTGATTTTCTTTTCCCTAAACTTCTTCTTGATCTCTCCTGCCTAATCTCATTTTCTCTGAATCACTTTTAAAAGCCCCCTGTTCCTGGAATGGGCAAGATCACACACAGCCTTTGTTTCTCTTTTGCTAGCAAAGCAATAAACCTTTTTTCTTTTTCTCAAAACCGGGTCCTCATTATTCTATTGGCATTGGAGACAAAGACCAGCTTTTGGTTACATGATGATACATGACAAAATAACTTGAATATAAAATTCGATGCTCTGGGGCTCAATGGTAGAGCTCTTGCTTGTCATACGTGAGGCACTGGGTTTGATCCTTAGCACCGCATAAAAATAAATAATGTATTGTGTCCATCTACAACTAAAAAAAAAAAGATTCTATGCAGATGTCTTAATTTTTATTAAGGTTCTTCCTTAGTTCACTGATTGGTCATTCTAGATGTTTTAATATTGAATATTCAGGAAATTTCTTACTAAAATCTGATAAGAGTCCTTTTCTGTGTTTACAGTACTGAACATTGGAAAGAAACTCTATGAGGGTAAAACAAAAGAAGTGTATGAATTGTTAGATAGTCCAGGAAAAGTTCTTCTGCAGTCCAAGGACCAGATTACAGCAGGAAATGCAGCCAGAAAGAATCATCTGGAAGGAAAAGCTGCAATCTCCAATAAAATTACCAGTTGTATTTTCCAGTTGTTACAAGAAGCAGGTAAGTGCCTCCCCTTCTCTTTCTCTTTCCCTCTCTCCTTTCTCCTTTCTCTTTTTTATTTCTTTCTTATTTTGATTCGTTTCATGGGGAAATTACATTATTTAGGTCTACAACATGTTACCAGCTGAGTTTTTAGTTTTACAAGGAAGAGGTAAATTGCTCTCCTGCCGCGCCCCCCCAATCACATTGATCTCTACTGGGGAGATGGCATTGTTTGAATTAGCAACCTATTGTTTGGGGGTGACTACTTTACACCTTGACATTTTGCTACAGTCTTTGTCAAGTACACTGTCCCTCTGCAATTTCTTTCTGCTAGGCCATCTTCAGTCTTAACCATGAAAGAAGACCACCTTTGTATTAGCAGCTCTAATTAATGAACTGTTCCTCCCTGAAATTTTATAGATTGTTCTTTTCTCTGCCTGTTGAAAACAATACAGAATTTCAAATCCCTCTTCCATTTATTTTAAAGTCCAAAAGTATTTGAAGATAGCAACTACCTTTTACCCTGTCATTTCCCAAGAAAGGGAATTGGACTTGATCAAAGATCTCTAGAGTTCCCTACTACTTAAAAATTGAAGGAAAATTCTATTTATGATAGAAAAATTAAATCAGAAGACTAAATTAACATCCAAATGTCATATAGAGACAATTTGGAGGGAAGGAAGGGGAATAATTTTTTTCTTCAGTGATTCAGTCAGCTACTGGTTGATCTGTAGTGTTTGAAATCTCTGCTATTAAAAGATTTAGACTTTTTCCCTATAGTGTAAGAGGCCTCATTTCCTTCACTCAATCTTTGAAGCCTTAGATTCCATATCTATAACCATAGAGCTTTGTTCTTTGTTTCCTGCAGTTCTAATCTTATAATTTAGTATCTTTCCTTCCTTATACAAAATATTCCTAGTTATTCTTTCATTTCTTTTGTCTTCCAGTTAGCACTAATCTTTTCTAAAACCACATTTGGGGTTTAATACATTTGTTTTCAGGACAAATGTACCTGCCTTCCACAAATTCACAGAGTAGTTAACCATAAATTCATTGTGTCATTACATTCCTGGAGTAGTTTGTCCTCTTCCAAAATATCCTGTTTTACATTTTAAGTTAATGTGTGGGGGCGGGGGGGGAATGTTAGTTGCAAACCTGAATTGTTATCTGTATCTAAATACCTCTTTGCGTTGAAAATGAGTGTATTGCTATAACTTTAAAGGACCTCCATAGTTCCGAAGTTATACGGTTTTTATTTCAAGGCTTCCTTAATTGCTGGAATGAATGAGAACAAGCACTGGAGAGTGCATCAAACTAAATTTAGGTTCCTTTTGTAATGCAGATAAATGTCTGCTCTACCTTATTAAATAAAATTCCAGTGCTTTTTTTTATTTAATCAATATGCAGGTATCAAAACTGCTTTCACCAGAAAATGTGGAGAAACAGCTTTCATTGCGCCTCAGTGTGAAATGATTCCAATTGAATGGGTTTGTAGAAGAATAGCAACTGGTTCTTTTCTCAAAAGAAATCCTGGTGTCAAGGAAGGATATAAGTTTTACCCACCAAAAGTGGAGATGTTTTTCAAGGTAATTATTTTATGCTTCTGTGTCTTACTATAAGGTAGCAGCAAAGTTAAAATTATAAACTCAAAAGATTTTGAAGTTTTTGATATTGGGAATGTTGTAGATATTTATGCCAATAAAGTACACTTTCATTTACAATGACAAATTAGGTTTTTAAAAAACTTACCTTTAGACCAAGTTGACTAAGAAAGGGAACAAACTTAAAAATTTAACACTAATTGGGAAGAAATATAACTTTTAATTCAAAATTTACAGTTAAGATCTTTCTGTATTCTAATATAAGAAAACATATTGTCGGTGTCTCATGAGCAAAACTATATAAGAATGTAGGAATCAATGGTTATAATTTTTTATAGGCTTTGTTCAAACCACTTTACCCCTCCTATCTTGTTTAAGCATAGATATTAAAATTGTAAATTATGTTTAAATTTGTTTATTGAGAGAAGATAAATTTCTTTCAAATACTTTATGACCTAGAAAAAGTTACTTACCTAAATACCTTGAATTTTAAAGTAGCTATTAAAAGCAAATAAATTAGCTGGGGTGCTGTGGCACATGCCTGTAATCCCAGCAGCTCAGGAGGCTGAAGCAGGAGGATCGTGAGTTCAAAGCCAGTCTCAGCAAAAGCGAGGTGCTAAGCAACTCAGTGAGACCCTGTCTGTAAACAGAGTACAAATAGGGCTGGGCATGTGGCTCTGTGGTCTAGTGCCCATGTGTTCTATTCCGGTTACCCCCTCCCCCCACCAAAAAAAAAAACGCAAATGAATTAAAAATAATTTCTTTGAACTAAAGGATATTTTAAACAAAATTTTTTTTTTAGAGAAAACGAATATTCCTGAGGAATTTATGCTCAAGGAGAAGTACTTTTTTCTGAAAAGTTCAAAAAAATTGTAATTATAGTACTATACTCTATTCCTAGGATGATGCCAATAATGATCCACAGTGGTCTGAGGAACAGCTAATTGCTGCAAAACTTTGCTTTGCTGGAGTTACTATAGGCCAAACTGAAGTGGACATCATGAATCATGCTACACAAGCTATTTTTGAAATACTGGAGAAATCCTGGTTGCCTCAGAACTGTACATTGGTTGATATGAAGGTACTAGAAAACAGAAATTTACAAGTAAAGGTTATTATAACTGAGAAGTGTCTTTAGTAATATCATTTTTTTAAATGTGTTCTTTGGCAATATGCCATTTCTAGATTGAATTTGGTGTTGACATAACCACCAAAGAAATTGTTCTTGCTGATGTTATTGATAATGATTCCTGGAGACTCTGGCCATCAGGGGATCGAAGCCAGCAGAAAGACAAACAGGTAAGTAATGCTGTGAATTTTTATCCTTTGAAAGATCAGATTGGGACAGGAAAAACAAAGGAAAGATAAGGTGTGCATCCTTATGAATCTGATTTGTTAATTTCCATTTATTTTTAAAGATAAGTATCTCCTATATCTTGGACATTAGTAATAAACTTATAAAGCAGATTTCTAAGACTCTAAGGGGATAGTATCTTCACAAGTACAAGAATAACTGGCAGATCTGGGACTCTACACCAAGTCTTCTGGTCTTAATCAGGCTCCATTCTGTTTTTTCCTAATAAAAATTAGGTTGAGATCCTCTGTATGCTTAATACACAGGAATTCTCAAGGCTGTTAATTGTAGATACTAGTGTAGAAAGCACTTAACCTTAAAGGAAAATAAAACTTTTATTTCACTATTGAACTTTCTCTAATTTAGAAATGAATTTCTATATTGAGATATGTTTTCAGATATATCTCATTTAAAAAGTTATCACACTCCCTACTCAAAACTCATAAACCGGATCATTTCTAACTTCTTATCTTATTTTCTAGTCTTACCGTGACCTCAAAGAAGTAACTCCTGAAGGGCTCCAAATGGTAAAGAAAAACTTTGAGTGGGTTGCAGAGAGAGTAGAGGTAATTTTCTGTAGTAAACCTATACTGTTATGTGTTTTTCTTCTAAGAAAACCTTGTTTCAAAATAAAATGTGAAAGATATAGTGTTTTTCTCTTCTTCAGTGACTTTGAAAGAGAGGAACACCTTTATGAAATGTCCCAGTCTACTACCCTTACTGTACACTAGAACTCTCTGCTAGTAAGCTGGCAAGTGTATTGTTTCCAGTTCCTGATAGGGAAACCCGGGATCCTGTCAACTCCCTGTCCCTGTAGGAGAAACTTTACATTTCCTACCATTCCCTACTACAGTGCCAACATCATAGGATGGATGGAATGCCATGTAATTTTATTTTTTAATTTAAAAAGTTTTTGTTTGTGGTGCTAGGAAACAAACCAGGGCCCCTGTGCATGCTAGGCAAGTGCTTTATCACTCAGCTATATCCCCAGTCCCTCCATTTTACTTGGTTCTTTATGTTACTGGTCTTTGAAACCCTAAAGCAACATCCTCAGTCCCCTTCACATAATTATAAAATGTGACTTTAATTTTTTTTAATTAAAAAAAATTAAAGTCACATTTAGTTGTAAATGGACATTTATTTTAGTTGTAAATGGACATTTATTTTATTTATATGTGGTGCTGAGAATCAAACTCGGTGCCTCACACATGCTAGGCAAGTGCTCTATCACTGAGCCACAACCCCAGCCTTCACTTTAATTTTTATGATGTTACAATTACTATAGTTACATGGGAGTTCGAGGGAGTATCTGATTATCCAATGATCATAATCACCTTTTAGAACATTATTTCCATGTTGCCAGACACAATTGCACACACCTGTAATCCCAGTGACTTAGGAGGCTGAGGCAGGATTGCAGGCCAGCCTCAACAACTTAATGAGACTTCTCTCAAAGTAAACATAAAAGTGGGGGTGGGGGGACTGGGAATGTAGCTTAGTGATAAAGCATCCCGGAATTCAATCCCTGGTACCAAAAAAAAAAAAGAAAGAAATTTTTTTAATTGTTTTAAATAACTAACTTACAAATATATATAATATGACCTCTAGTTTGGCTGATCATGCTATTAAACATCTTTAGAATGAAATGGTTGGTTATAGTTTCTTGAATAATAATTAAAAGGCTTGAGAATTTTATTAATAAATATTATTTATCTGATTTAAAATCTTCTCCATTAGGTCTTAATTGTGAAGACCACTGTCCTTTATACAGAAAAGTTATTTTTAAAGTGGATCCTCTCATTTTGTTCTGTTTGTCTCCCTCTTAAATTTGATTTGTTAAGAGAATATTCTGTCGATACAATTTTACAATTTACTTCTGTAAATTGACTGTTCTTATCATACTCATTCCTGTTTGTCCATTTTTGTCTTGTTCTTTTTCATATCCATGTTTTTCTATTTTAGTTGCTTCTGAAATCAGAAAGTCAGTGCAGGGTTGTAGTACTGATGGGTTCAACTTCTGATCTCGGCCACTGTGAAAAAATCAAGAAGGCTTGTGGAAATTATGGAATTCCCTGTGAACTTCGGGTAACATCTGCCCATAAAGGACCAGATGAAACATTGAGGATTAAAGCTGAGTATGAAGGTAAACTTCAAATAATTAGACCATTTTAGGTGTTGTTTGTTTTGCCCAAAAAAAAAAAAATGTGGTTTAGACTAATACAAAAAGTTGCTTTTCCATATTCCCAAGGGTAAGTCTTGAAATATGCTATGCTTTCAAGATACTCACCTCCAAAGAGCATAAGATATGGGGTGCTTGAAAAAGAGAGAAGCAGGAAAAAAGAGTTGAAAATGCAAACCTGAGGGAAATTAGACTAGATCTGTGAGGATCTCTGATATCTTAATCTAATAAGCATCCCTTTGAGCATTGTCTCTTTTTTTTTTTTTTAAAGAGAGAGAGAGAGAGAGAGTTTTTGATATTTATTTATTTATTTATTTATTTTAGTTTTCGGCAGACACAACATCTTTGTTTGTATGTGGTGCTGAGGATTGAACCCGGGCCACACGCATGCCAGGCGAGCGTGCTACCGCTTGAGCCACATCCCCAGCCCGCATTATCTCTTAATGTGCTCCAATAGAAAAGCCCCATAGAGGTTCCAGGAGGCCTGAGTTAAAATTGCAGATCCTCTCTGCTATCTTTAATGGTTAACCTTCCCTGGAAGACAGTCAAACATGAAGCCACATAGTTTTATATTCAGAATATAAGTATGTAAAAGAAATGATAAGACAGCGTTGATGTAAAATAATAGCTTCCTGGGTTCAGAACCAAATATTTCCCTACTGGAAAAAATGTTGATTGACACCTGTAATGGTCATTGTTCCAGGAGTGTACATATTGGTTTTGTTTATTTTGTGATACCCAAGACCTCACACATGCTAGGCAAGCACTAAGCTAAATCTTCAGCCCTTTTAATTTTTATTTTGAGATAGGTTCTCCCTAAGTTACTGAGGCTGACCTTAAACTTGTGAGATCATCTTTCTTTAATTCCCAATTAGTTGAAATTATGTGTATGCACCATTACACCTGACCCAGGAGTGATTTAAGACATAAAGGCATGTTCTTTTTTAAAAAAAATTGTTAAATCTTTTAAATTCTTAGCATAATAATTATCTTATGATTTCCCTAGGGGATGGCATTCCTACTGTATTTGTGGCAGTGGCAGGCAGAAGCAATGGTTTGGGCCCAGTGATGTCTGGTAACACTGCATATCCAGTTATCAGCTGTCCTCCCCTCACATCAGACTGGGGAGCTCAGGATGTGTGGTCTTCTCTTCGATTACCCAGTGGTAAGTTACATTGAAAACTTTTTTAACTGTTATTTACAAAAATTGAAATATATATAACAGTGTGGAGAATAGCATAATGAAATCTCACATACCTATCACCCAGGCTCAGCAAGTAATGTTTTGTTTCATGTATAAATCCCCCTTTTGGGTTGGGTTATTTTAAAGCAGATTTTAAACATTGCAATATTTTATCTTAAATATATTTAAATATGCATCTCCAAGCAATAAGAACTCTAGCTTATTTAAATCATAATTATGTTACCTGATTTACCATCTGAGAAAAATTAGTGATAATTTCTTAAAATCATCTTATTTCTAATTGTCTCTTTTTTTTTTCAATTTTTTTTTTTTTACTTGTAGATGGACATACAATATCTTTGCTTATTAATTTATTTTTTTATCTGGTGCTGAGGATCAAATAAGTGCCTCATACATGCTAGGCAAGTGCTCTGCCACCGAGCTACAGCCCCAGTCCCACCCATCTGTTTTTACAGATGCTTAAATTAGGATCCAACAAAGTCTGTGTATTGAATTTAGTTGATATGAGTTGTCTTTTTTTTTTTTTCTTTAATATTTTTAGTTTAGTTGGACACAATACCTTTGTTTGATTTATTTATTTTTATGTGGTGCTGAGGTTCGAACCCAGGGCCTCACACGCTAAGTGAGCAATCTACCACTGAGGCACAACCCCAGCCCATGAGTTAAGTCTTTTTATTTATTTTATTTATTTATTTATTTATTTATTTATTTTTTAGTGGTAGGTGGACACAATACCTTTATTTTTATGTGGTGCCAAGGATTGAACCCAGTGCCTCATGCATGCTAGGCAAGTGCTCTCCCACTGAGCCAGCCCAAGTCTTTTTTTTTTTTTTTTTCTTTTAATATTTATTTTTGAGCCTTGCACATGCTAGGCAAGCATTCTACAGCTGAGCCACAACCCCAGTCCTATTTTGTATTTGTATTTTATTTAGAGACAGGGTTTCAATGAGTTGCTTTGCACTTTGCTTTTTGCTGAGGCTGGCTTTGAACTCTCGATCCTCCTTTCTTAATCCCCCTGCCTCTAAGATTACAGGCGTGTGCCACCGCACCCAGTTTGAGTTTTTTTCTTTATGGAAACTTAGGATCTTTTATCTGTACTGATTATTCTTAAATTTCACACAAATGTGATTTGATAAGTCTGTTTTTATTGTGTATGGCTTTGTGGGCTCTTTTAATAAGATACTTTATTCCTTAAATCATAGAGAATTTTCTTGAATTATTTTTTACCCCTCCATTGTCTTTGTTCTCTCATTTTTTAATTTATTCTTCACATTTGGATTTCTTTGATTTCTATTTTCTTTTTCTTGTTGCTGTACTTTCTGATATGGCCTCAGTTTTGTATCACATCCTAACCTTCTGTTGAGTTTTTCATTTTTGAATACAGTAGTTTTACATGTGTAATAGCTTTTTTTTATTCTCTTTGCCGCCCGCCCCACAAGAGTATCATTTCATTGTTTAATCTGTGCAGTAACATCTTTTTCTGATTTTGCGGTCTTTTTCTTATTAATTCATTTCTTCAACTCTGGTAATTGAGCTTGAATGGGGTACTGTTAAAAAAAACAGTTGGAAACTGGCTCTACTGTGGGTTGATCTGGTAGTTACTCTCCAAATAATCTCACACATCAGTGACTACGTCTTTTCTTGTTAGAATTACACAAAGAAATTTTGTCCCCATCTTTTGCCTGTATGAATAAATTTGGCTGCCAGCATTCAGGAAGCTTAGGGGGGAATCTCAACATGTGTGTGTAAACTTCACTCCCTGTTTTCACTATATCATTCCTTGCCTCAACTATGCCTGATATCCCCCCAGTCCAGAGACTGAAGTGTTTAACCTCAGATAATTGAAAACTCTGCCATGTTGAGGCACTTACTCAGGTAGAGAAAGGAAAGAGTTCTTGAGGGCCTAATTACTTCTTAGACTTTTTTTGTTTGGTCCTCTTCTTTTTGGCCCAATTTTTAATTCCCACTTCATGCCTCCCTCAAAGGTATCTGGTGCAACTGATTCCTCTTTTAGCAGGGTTCTGTGATAGTAGTTAGGTTGCTTCTTTTTTTTTTTTTTCTTTTGTTAATCTATTAAGTTAGTTACCACTTTATTTGCTTTTCAGTTGTCAAGATGTTACTTTTGTTTATCTCTTTGTCCTAGTATGTTTATGCCTATTTTCTTTATTCCCTTTAAGGTGAATTTAGTATGGTTCCAGAGATATATCTTGTGCTTAATCATCTTCACTAGATCCTTAACTACACATTGTTTACATAAACTTTTTGAGTTTAATATTCACTGTAGCTATAAATAAAGCTATTGATCAATTTATAAATAAAGCTATCATCCATGGACATTAGAAAAGGGAACTATAGAGATGGGGTAGAGTGTTTCCCTGACATGCACAAAACCCTTAGTTCAATCCCCAGCACCACTAAAAAAAAAAAAAAAGAAGAAGAAGAAGAAAGAAAAGGGAACTATGATGAGCAAAAATAGGACAGTTTTTATCTAGTGCTATTCAAGGAGAGAGATAATCTGTGTGTGCATGTGTATTACTGGGTACTGAACCCAGAAATCCTCTAACATTGAGCCACACCCTAGTCCTTTTTATTTTATTTTGAAATGGGGTCTCACTAAGCTGCTGAGGCTGTCCTCAAATTTATAGTCCTCTCACCTCATCCTCTCCAGTCTCTAGGATTACAGGTGTGTGCCACTACACCTGACTACGGACAGTGTTTTTGAAAAATAGTTTTATAGTGACTTGTACATAAGATCCTGAAAGATTGCTCATCTTTTTTTCTATGATATCTTGTTCACTAGATAAACATTTTGATTTGTTTATTTGTTTCGTTTGAGGTGTTGGGGGATTGAACCCAGGGCATCATGTATGTTAGGCAAGCACTCTATCACTAAGCCCTTGTACATTGATTATTAACTGACACTTTAATTTTCTGTCTTTTCCCTTTGTGAACTCTAGGTCTTGGCTGCTCCACCATACTTTCTCCAGAAGGATCAGCTCAGTTTGCAGCTCAGATATTTGGATTAAACAACCATCTGATATGGGCCAAACTGCGAGCAAGCATACTGAACACATGGATTTTCTTGAAGCAGGCTGACAGGAAAATCAGAGAACATAGTTTATAAGAAAGAATATGTCATTTCATTTTTTTAGGCGAAAAAATACAAATTTCTAGTTCAGCTGCAGAAGAAAAAGCAAGATGAAAAGATGATTCTTAGATCAGAAAACAATATATTAGTGAATAAACACTTCTAGATGGATGGATAAAAAGATCATCTGTTCATATTAATATTCCTTCATTGGTAGTGAAATTACTGTAGAAACATTTTCAAATTAATCTCTTACCCCACTATATGATCATTGTTAGGTAGGTAACATTTTTTAAATGCTAATAAAATCCTATTATAAAGCTCCAAAGTTATTACTTGACCTTCTGTATTGTAACCTATAAGTTTTAGAAAGTATTGATTATATCTTGGGTGATAAGAGTAACATAGTCCTTTCATTTTATGGTCTTTACAAATTTGAAGGCATGGTTTTTTATTTATACCTCAGAAAATGATGTGCATTTACGTGTATTTTGGACTATTAATACATCTTTTTTGTGGTATGATGAAACTCAACACAAGCATTCTTTTTACCACTGAGCTACAACCCCGACCCTGGGTTTTTATTTTCGAGTTTTTTCTTTCTCTCTCTCTCTCTCTCTTTTTTTTTTTTTTTTTAAGAAAAATTGAGATTGTGCAGGCCAAAGAGGAAAACACATGAAATAAGATGAAAGGACACTGTAGAAGTCAAAGTTTTTATGCTTTGCTAGCAAAGGAGAAACAGGGGACTCCTGTCCCAGAAGCTGTAATTCTGCCCATCAGCAGGAACAGGACACTTTAAAGAGGTGACTGTAGGAGTTATAATTCACTTGTTAACATGGGAGGTGGATAGTCATTTCTGAAATCTTCTGCTACCATCCCCAAAGTCTGAATTACTCCTTTCCTATAGTGAGTGAGTACTCAAGGACAGATAAATCTGCCTAAAATGGGGAGAGAGGTAATCATGTTTCTCCTGAGATTAAGGAGAATCAAGGAGAGAGGAAGAAAAACACCTCCATTTTAAAAATAAGTTGCAGTGGCAGAGCAGCAAGGGCTATATTCAAAGCATAAAGTAGACAGACCACTGTTACATGGTGGGTGCATCTGTGGGTCATAACTTCTTTTAGTTCTAATAAGACATGTTTTAGCCACACTAATAATCACCAGCCTACCATCATTTGCAGAAATTGGATCTCCCTGTTAATAATATTAGGTTTTTTTTGGCTAATGTAAGAGTAACTAGGATGCACCTCTGTAGGAGCACTGGTTACTAAGAGGTCAGTTGTGTTTTATTTGGGTCTTAGCTATGATTTGACCCAAGTCGATTCTGTTGTAGTGTTTTTGCTTTTCTTGTGCTCATCACATTCCTATTTGAGATGGGTAACCTAACAATAGTAAATTGATTCCCCTTGCTAACCTTCCTATTCTCTTGGTCTGTTGTTCTACTGGCACCTTCCCAATAGTCCTTTTAATACTGTTTTAAACATTTTTGTATTAGTGGATAATGGACTTTTATATATGTGGTGCTGAGAATCAAACCCAGTGCCTCACCTGTGTTAGGCAAGCACTCAACCACTGAGCTAACCCCAGAGGCTGCCTGCCACCCCTCCCTGCCAATGGTCTTAAAGGACGATTTCTTTCTTTTTTGGTACTGAGGATCTAGAGACAAGGTCTCTAAATTGCTCAGCACTTAAGTAAACTGCTAAGACTGGCTCTGAACACAACTCTCCTGCCTCGGTCTCCCAAATTGCTGGGATTACATGGGTGTGCCTCCAGGCCTGGCAGGATTAGTTTCTTATGTATACCATGGGTAGCTTGTGATTACTTGCCATTTTCCAATACCAATTACTGTGCCTATAAGTTCATAGAAAAGCATGCAAAATTTAGGAAGAGTGAAATCACAGAATATAGAGGTCTTTATAAATTTAGCATTATTTCATTACATTGTCTTTTCTCTTTGTTAAGCATTGGTGAAATCCTCATTATAGTTCATCTTCAATCTATAAACTGGTATTTTGAAATCACATTGTGCAGCCCTGAGAGTATTACAGATCCCTGAATGTTAATCTGGTGTCTACCTTGAACTTATTTGTAAGATTTTTCATGAGTATTTTTAAAAATATATTTTTTGTAGTTGTCTTTATTTAATATGCTGAGGGTCGAACCCAGTGTCTCACGTGTGCTAGCCAAGTGCTCTGCCACCGAACTACAGCCCCAGCCCCTGCATGTGTGTTTTTATGAGAACAGGGAAATGTTAGCTTTCTTCAAAGACCTGATTCTCCTAAAATTCTAAGAATATCTGCTACAGATGAAATTTTGATAAGACCTTTCCTACACATTTTTTTTTTTTTGGCACCATATGCTCAAGTTTATTGTACAGTCACAAGTTACACATGGAAACCTAAGCAGAACACTGTATCAGCTTTCACTAACTCAAACCAAGTTAGCAAATGACAGATTTGAGGAAAAAACTCATTTCATGTCTCACCCAATGTGGGTGATCACAAGAGAAGCTAAGTAAAGATGATTACAAGGAACAGTTCATATTCAGCCTGAAATAAACCATAGAATGGAGTGTTTAAGGGCAAATAACTTCTTTGTACATCCACAGCAGAAACATTCTTTCCCACTAACAGAAATACTACTAAATCTCTGCTCTTTAGGCTTACTAAATTAATGATAAATTTGATATTAGCTAGGTTTGGTTACATTGTTATATTGCACTTGATAACAATGACAATGAAAACCACCAAAGATTCAACACCTTTTCCAAGAAGTTCATTAGGTATCAGAAATTACAACAAAATACAAGAACATATTCCATGCTGTCCTACACATTCTTATTTCTCACCTCCAAACTGTTAATAAACTGCTTAGAAATTTTGGCTCATTTCCAGAAATTCAGTTCAACAAACTGTTAATAAACTGCTATCTCATCACTTGTGTGTTAGCTTCTCATCACTGTGACCAAAATACCTGACAAGCATCTTAGATGAGGGAAAGTTCATTTTGGCTTATTTTCAGAGATTCAGTTTATGGTCCGATGACTCTACTGTTCTGGATCCAATGTGAGGCAGAACATCATGAAGGAAGGGTGTGGAAGAGGAATGCTGCTTCATCCAGGTAGCCAGGAAGCCAAGGGGGTTGGATGGAAAGGGGCTGCAGGGAAGATGAACCCTTCCTAGGTACATACCTAAGTTACCCACCTCCTCTGGGAATATCATACCTGTGGTATCTATATACCACACCTAAACTAAGATGGACTAATTGGCTTACACTTCTAACTCTAATACCAAAAATTGAACCCAGGGCACTTAGTTACTGAGCCACATCCCCAACTCTTATTTTTAATATTGACACAGGGTTGCTAAATTGCTGAGGCTAGCTTTGAACTTTAAATCCTGTCTCAGCCAAAGAAGTCCCCCAATGAGCAGCTCCATGGTCTGAAAGGGCCGGGAAACAGCCCAATGAACATCACAGCAGAGGAGCCAATCAGCTAGATGTTGCTGGGGCCGCTGTGAGCCAATCATGAGCCGGCAGCTGGAAGTTTGCTGGGGCCCCTTTGGCTGTGGCTCTCAACATCTCCCCCTCTCTGTTTAAACAACAAGCATGTGGCTTAGGGACCTTATGAGGATCAGCAGCAACAAATTGCATATGATCCTGGCGTATACTCACAAATTGCTGTAGAGGCAATTAG